TATTTTTAAAGCTTTGTAACTTAGTTCTATGAAACTTTAAACAAAGCTTGTTCTGTTATTTTCCTGCATACACACTATTCAATACTTACCTGTAAAAAAGGGCAACACCTGCATTGAGTAATGTTTGCAGTCCAATATTTTGTAGAAAAACTGACTTTTTATAAATTAGTTCTAAGATCACAGAAATACAGGGGGGAAATGTCATTTTCCCCATGTGTCATTTTAATCATGGCTGGAGGAACTATTTGTTTTAAATGCACACGTTTGCTCTAAAGTGATAAGGAATACATAATATTGGAGAAAAATCTACTTACTGTGTTATGATCTAACGCCCATTGACTGAAGTCAATAAAGTCACTTACTGACCTCAGTGGGCTTTGGATCAAGACATAAGTCAGGAATCAGCCTTCTACTGGAAGGCATCTCACATCCGTTACACACAGTAGTTAAAACCAGTTTTTAATATACCTACATGTTAACTGATCATGGAGCAAGTGTTGTAACAATAACAAAAAGTTCATATCCTCAGCTCAGTGTTATAACACTGGGGGCTTCTGAAAATATTTGCTTTTTGCAGCAATTTCCATTAAATAGCAAATCCTTATTACTTCATTGTGGTATTGACGACAATAGCATTTATAGAGGTCCAGGGCTGTATATTCATATTCATATGGAAGTTACACCTATTTCTAGGAATTCTGATAAACAGAAATTGAAACATCACACAGGATGCCGCAGCAGGGACAGGTGAAACAGTGCACTCTTTTGCTGGACCTTTACTTCTTAAACCAACCATTATTTTGTTTATTTAACGTACTTTAAAAGCAACAGAACTGTAAGAAGGCTCATCTCAGTGAGATCAATGCAGTTTTGGCCTTAGGTTATAGTTGATGCCATCTTCCCTGTAGCTTAAAGATACTTCAGGTCTTGTGAACCTAGGTGTGAATTCCCAGTCCCCATATTGCACTGAATCCTTGGACCCGTCCTGCCATAAAGTGATTGGGCAAGTTTCAGTCCCCTCCAGAACACACCGGCATGCCATTCACAAGCAGCGGGGGAAATGTCCCCTAAGTGGACAGGTGCATTAGGACCATGGGAACAGAGCTGTGCAGAAGAGGCTGTTTTAGTGTTAGGTGAAATGCACTGAGATGTCCCTGCAACCTATGCTCAAGACTGGACTTAGATAACAAGATCACCAACACGTTAAATGAAACCATGGGGTGGGATGTTAATCAAATGGGCAGGTGATCTGCACTGCCTGTGCTGAGTGTATCTATATTGAATCTCCAAAAGGGGCAGCAGTTTAACTTGCCTTCAACTCCAGGAAAGTTCTTGTGGACCATCTCCAAAGCTCCCTGCACTGTAATCTTCCTGTCAAAAGCAACTGCTCACTTACTCTCCTTTAGAGGAGGTGGGGGACTGCTCACACCCTCATCAAGCCTCTACCTGATGTTGTCTAAGGGGAAAAACAATAGAAGACAATTGGCAGTTTTTCAGAGAGACATTATTAAGGGCACAAGAAGAAACTATCCCACTGTGTAGGAAAGATAGGAAGTATGGCAAGAGATGACCCTGGCTTAACCAGGAGATCTTCAATGATCTAAAAATCAGAAAAGAGTGCTACAAAAAGTGGAAACTAGGGCAAATTTACAAAGGATGAATATAAACAAATAACACAAGTATGTAGGGACAAAATTAGAAAGGCCAAGGCACAAAACGAGATCAAACTAGCTAGAGACATAACAGGTAACAACAAAACATTCTACAAATACAGCAGAAGCAAGAGGAAGACCAAGGACAGGGTAGGCCCGTTACTCAATGGGGGGGGGGGAATAACACAAAATATGGAAATGGAAGAGGTGCTCAATGACTTCTTTGTTTTGGTTTTCACAAGAAGGTTGGTGGTGATTGGACGTCTAACGTAGTGAATGCCAGTGAAAATGAGGTAGGATCAGAAGAGGCTAAAACAGGGAAAGAACAAGTTAAAAATTACTTGGACAAATTAGATGTCTTCAGGTCACCAGGGCCTGATGAAATGCATCGTAGAATACTCAAGGAGCTGATTGAGGAGATATCTGAGCCATTAGCAATTATCTTTGAGTGGTCATGCAAGACTGGAGAGATTCCAGAAGATTAGAAAAGGGCAAATATAGTGCCCATCTATAAAAAGGGAAATAAGGACAACCCAGGGAATTACAGACCAGTCAGCTTAACTTCTGTACCCAGAAAGATAATGGAGCAAATAATTAAGCAATCAATTTGCAAACATCTAGAAGATAATAGAGTGATAAGTAACAGTCAGCATGGATTTGTCAAGAACAAATCCTGTCAAACCAACCTGATAGCTTTCTTTGCCAGGGTAACAAGCCTTGTGGATGGGCGGGAAGTGGCAGACGTGATAT